TGGTGCGTACTTATGAGAAAATCGCCTTCATCCTGCACATCCCAGAAGGGATCCTCTGTTTTAGGGAATCAAATAAAAGAGACATTATTGTTTTCTTTTTCTTCACACTCTTTGGCTCCTGGGGCAGAAAAACCCTAGGGCAGACACACTGGGAACTAGAATACTATTGTTAAAAACCGGCAGGCCTGGGGTTTTTATGGTTCAAGAGTCAGGCTGTTAAACAGCCCTTGGCTTCTCTTCCCACTTGGGGAAGCTGGAAGCTTGGTTCAATCAGAGGGAGTCAGAAGACTGGTTTGAGATTAGGAAACCAAATTGTGTTCTGGGTCATTTTGTTGACTTCTGGGGTAAGAGTGACAAGTTATCTACCTGAAAATGGTGATTAGCCAGTACCGTGATTATTAACAATAATAATGATCACATTCATCACAATAGTGGTATCTTCCTTTGAAGTTTGTTCCTTGCTGGGAGCAGTCATTCAGAGTACACCCTGTGTCCTTGCCTGCTGGGCGTGGCGTCTCACAGGTGAGGAAAGTAAGACTCAGCGCGGTCAGCTGCTTTTCTCAATATCACACAGTTCATCATTATGTAACTGGCAGGAATTTATGTAATGCTTTGAGACACTGGGGTAATATTTTTAGCCCAACATGATCATCGCTGAAAAGCTGTTGTCTGAGTCAATGAAGTCCATTCAGAGATGGGTGGAGACTCTGAGTCTCGCAGCTTTCACTCTCTTCCAGCCAAACTCGATCCCAGGATCCTCCCCTGGATCGTAGCTACTGTGGATTTAGTGTGTTTGGTCCCAGGCATGCTTATACTGGCCCCTCAGCAATCCCGTCCCCTGGGGTGCACCTGGGAGAGGGGCAGACGGATCTCCAGCACTAGGGACGCTTGCAGCTGCCCACGTCCCCTAGGGAGTCCCTGTCTCCACCAGGAAGCATTATTCACTCGAGTCCACTCTGGGCAACCCCTCTCTAGTTCTTCTTCCTTTGGAGATAAGAGTATCTCCTCCTATGCTGGTGGCCCCTCCCCACAGTAGTGAAGAGAGGGCAGAAGGTGGCCCGTCATTACCTCTTTATAAAGTGTACCAATCCACTGCACATGGAAAAGAGCAGCAAATGAATGGATACATGAATGAGTGAGAGGATGCATAAATAGAAATAAGATATTTTTAACAAAAATAAAATCAATTAAAATTCCTGGAAAGACAAGGTTGTGGTTGAAGGCTTAGTGCTGAGTTGAGTGCAGTGTATACTGTTCTGCTGGGTGGAGGGAGCATGTGTACAGGGACAGAAACCTGCTAGAAGGTTCTTGCACCAGCCTTGGGAGGAGCTCCAGGGGCCCAGACCAACAGGGGCAGGAGAAATAAAATGGGAGGAAAAAATGTAAGTGGCTGTGAAGGAGCAATGGGAAGATTTGGAAACAGACTTGTGTGGATACTGATGAGATAGAGTTGTCAGAGATGGCTACTGTTAGCCAAAACTTGAAATGTGGGAGATAAAGTTTGCAGGTCCTGGGAGGAGCATGAGTTTTCAGCACAGAGTGGTTGTGGAATATCCAGTTGGAAATGTTGGCCAGCAAATGGAAATTGACTACCAGAATTTGGGCAGGAAGTCAGGACAGGTGGAATTAAATTAGCATTTTACCCAGTCTTTACCTGGAATCAGGCCTGGCCTTGCTGCCACTACAGAAACGGCCCTTTTGGGGTGAAAAATGGTGGATTAGGGGTGACCTCCTGGCTCTCTGCTCTCAGAGTTGGAGGTGAAGAAAGAGGACAACTACACGCGAGTGAATCGCACTACCGCAGGATCAGCGTCCTGAGCCTGCAGAGAAGCAGCGAGGAACGAGCAGTGCTGGAGGGAACAAAAGGTGAATTGGAGAATCTACCACAAAGCCCGGGGTCTGAAATATACAACAGGAGTGGAGCGTGGGACGCACCTGTCACCCATCGGCCGGCCAGCCGGGCAGTGCGACTGACCCACAGCGGGACAACGCTTCCTCCACCGCCCTGCACACCACGCGGGCAGGGACGCTCCTCAAGTCGGCGCGAGGTGGTGGCGCGGGCTGACGGGCTGTGCCGAACAGAGACAGGAGCCGGAAGCATTTTGAACTCTCCTGTGCGCTCTGCTGAGTCAGCTTTGGGCGGGGGAGAGTCTGGACCCAGCGGGCCCTTCCTGGTTCCGCAGGAGAGAGCTGATGACAGGCATCTCACTTCAGGAAACCGCAGGACCAGAATAAGGGTGGTGAACACCTTGGAGGAGGCCCTGCTCTCAGCAATCGCGGAAGATTTGGCTGGCGCAGGGTGGGGCCGAGTGCAGATGCCTGCATCTAAACAGCTGTGGCCCAGTGTGCTGGGGTAACGGTGGGCTCGGTGGGTGGATCTTGGAGGCAGCGCGCCCAGCCCAGCCCAGCCCAGCCCAGCTATCTGCCCTGCAGGCCCCTCTGGCCTGGCTCTAAGTGGGAGGCCAGCCGCCATTCGGAGAGTCCATAGCCTAAAAACGCTGTGGCGTGTTACTCTGGCAATGGTCTCAGACCTCCCCCACCCTAGGCCAGCTGAGCAGGTCTGGCACCTGAGGAGGGGAGTAACAAGAGAAGCCGTTTTCTATCCCAGCCGCGGGTCTTTTCATCCCGGCAGCTCAAGCTCCACCTTTGAAGGGGCGGAAGGGGGAGAGTGGTCGCTTTCTCAGCTGAGTCACCAGGTGGACTTGGGCGGTCTCCCTTCCCACCCAGCCAAAAAAGCAGAGCCTGCCTTAGCAGGGCGGGGTTGTGAAGGATACCGTTTTTCCAGCTGTGAACCGGGGAGACATTAGCACCCACACTTTCCTGCAACTTGGGCCCGGGTGCCTCGCGCCAAAGGGACAAACTCTGCTCCTGGACAGAGTTGAGCAAGAGGCCGTTGTGCAAACCGAAACCCGTGGTGTGAAGACTGCTACTCCCTCTTCTCTGCCTCTTCTCTTACTCTTCTCGGCTGGCTGCTGAAAGGGTGTGGTAGCAGGGTCAGGGCGGCCTCGTGCACGTGGCCTGGGCAATTTCCGCTTGGTCTAGACAGGAAGCGGTGCCTTGCATCTTCCACATCGCCAGCGACAGGGAGCACGATGGAAGTAGGCGAGAACCAGTGTGTGCGTGAAAAGGGCACACCGCTCCCCAGACTCCCCGAGTGACCGGAGGAGCGTCTCCCTCCTGCAAGGGTCCTGTTCGTTGTCCCAGACAGTAACGGCAATCAGGAGAAGCCGCCGGACAGCAGGATAAATTCCTCTGCTTTTCCCCACTCCCCGTACGGTTGGCGACCTGGGGGCCAGCTGGCCTCCACTAAGCAGTTCTCCTCGGCACAGGGAGAGTGAGGGATCCTCCCTGCTCAGGTTGCAGCCTCCTTTATAAATCAAGCCCTGAAGAGAGAAGTCATGGTGGTAATTAACAGTGGGACTAAAATCCAAGCTGCAATCAGGCAGAGATTTGTCGCCAGAGCTGGAGCTGTAATGGATGATTCAAGCCTAGAGTGGCTGTCTCTAAACATGTTAATTACCTCAGCTCCAGTGGCTGAAACGGACGATTAAAAAACGTAGAGACCTGCGCAGCAGACCTCGTACCCCCGCCTCCCCGCGCTGGCTCACCCAGGTCTCAGCACGTGGCCTTTCTCTTTGAATGGAAAGAGGTAGGGTGGTGCCTTGCTTGGCCGTGAGCAGGGGGGTTGGTAAGCACAGCGCTGAGGTGCTGAGGTCCCCTAAGCAGAAATAATGGGGCACACCCCTCCCACCGGGTGGCTGAGATTCACAGGGGCTGGCTGCACCCAGTTCACCTACTGAGGGTCGCCTCCTCTGGAATGGTGGCTCTTTCACTCTGGCCCCAGGGTGCCGCTGCCACGGCTGGCAGAGTGCTGGATGGAAGAGTCTCTCCGCATGTGTTGGGTGGTGGGAGGAGGATGATGACCCCACAATGGACAGATTATGGGGGAGGGTCAGAAACATGCTGGGGGCTCAGAGGTACAGGGGCAGGGGGCAGAGCTTCCATTAGAAAGTGGCATTTAAGACAGGTCTGGAAAGATGGCTCAAAATATTTTGTTGGGAAGACCAAAGCATTCATGATGGCCGAAACAATACACAAAGTGCATTCATATGTTATATAAATAAATTGTTCATAAGTATCTCTCTCTCTATCTCCCCCTATAACTAGGTAAGATGGTGCATTTGTGTCTCTCTCTGCTGCCTTCCTTACTCCTGGCCTAGAGACCAAATTTCTTTGTTACAATCACCCTTTAGCTTACAACTGTGATTTCCGCTAAAATGGAAACACCACTGGAGGAGGTTCTCACTCATTCTGAGCTCTGTTTACACATTTGCTGTGTAGCTAGGTGGGGACAGGGAGCTGAGCCATCCTGAGGGTCACCTCCCCCAGGTGGCCCCCAGGTCCGGGCTGGTTTCTTCCCCCTTCCCCAGAAGCTGTGCTGTCCCTCCTTATTGTCACTGCTTGTTTCTCTTGGGTTCCTCTTGATCCACTCACCATCCAGTAAAATGCTGCTTCCCAGTGTTTTCCCGGCCGGCTTATATTTGTAATGAATGTCCATATTCACTGTAGGTTTGTGTGACTGGAGAAGGGTGCATGGGGGCTGGCCAAACAAGAGCAGGCAGTCATGGGACCACTGGAAACACTCTCAGTATTTCTCCTGCTGGTCCTGCCCTGGGCAGGTGCCACACAGGCGGGACCAGCTCTTCCGTCTTCACAGTGGTCTCCACAGGTGAGCCCAGGAGCAAGTGCAGTCTCCTGTTAAATAGGGTGCCAAGGGGCTATGTCCTTTGGGAATAGGGCATAAAACATGGCTCTGGTATTGTAAAGAGGAAAACTTGCAGAAATGGACCTCCATCTCGGGGCAGAGACTCTGCTGCCTAAGGGAGGCCTCCGTGCCACCAGCACGTGACAGGCAGTGTCCAGGCAGCAGGCAGCTGCCGTGGGTGTGGGCGTGGCCTTCCCTGCCCTCTAACGAGGCTGTGTCTCTGCTCCCTCTGCAGCTGGTGCTGCCCGAATACTCCATCCACAGCCTCTTCTGCATCATGTTCCTGTGCGCGCAGGAGTGGCTCACGCTGGGGCTGAACGTCCCTCTACTCTTCTATCACGTCTGGAGGTAAGTCTGTGGCGCTGGCCGTCCGTCCTCTTCCCTGCCTGAGCAGACGGCTCTCCAGTGACAATGTCCCCAAGTAGACAGCCACCCAGTGCCTCCGTCTCCTCCCTTCCTTTGGGGGGCCCTCTCTCCAAAGCGCTCTTCCCAAGCTGCTCTCAGGCAGCAAGTCGAGTAAGGCAGGGCCTTTCTTGTTGGCGCCATTAACCACAGCTCCAACCCACGTGGGCCAGTGTTGAATGCGGCTACAGCAGCATTCCCAATAGCCAAAAAAGTAGAAGCAACTCAAATATCCATCAACTGCTGAATGGATAAACAAAATGTGGTATGTCCATATAAGGGAATATTATTTGGCAATAAAAAGACATGAAGTACCCACACATGCCATGATATGGATGAACCTTTAAGAATATGTAAGTGAAAGAAGCCAGACACAAAAGGTCACACATTGTATTATTCCATTTATATACAATGTCCAGAATAGACAAATCTATAGAGACATAAAGTGAATTAGTGTTTGCTGGGGTCTGGGCAGAAGTGAGAGTAGGGAGTGACTGCTAATGGGTATAGGGTTTTCTTTTTAGGGTGATGAATATGTTCCGAAATTAGTGGTGACAGTTCGCAGCTCTATGAATATACTAAAAACCACTGAATTGTACACTTTAAAGGGTAAGTTTTATGGTATATAAGTTATATCTGAATTAAAAAAAAAGCACTTACCAGATGGGCTGGATTTTCTGGGACAGTTATGATTTCAAATATTCTATTCCCTGCTAAGGGCATGTGTCAGATCATGTGATCTGGGCTTTTTGTAAAATAGAGTCACCATATGGATATAGGAGGCAGGGGTGGAGAATACCAAAGTAGTAGGGATGTGATTGTGCAGACAAACTGTCAACCCTTGACCCCTTGCTCCCAGAGATCTGGTCCCCCAAAATGTTTTAGCATTGTCATTTTACCATAAAATAGAGCTTGTATTTAGTCACATCTAGAGCATTCGGCGTCCACTCCTTCATTTGGCAAACATATGGAACACATGCGTCATGGCAGGCATTGCGAGAGGCTTCAACAAAAATGTAAGATATAATCCTTACCTCAAGGAATGCGTACCCTACCAGGAGAGGGAAATGATATTCTTAACAACCATATGAGCAATATATATATGAGCAGAGAGAAAGAAGCACTTAATTGGGACTGAAAAGAGAGCTCGGAAAATCGGGAAAAGCACATTCCAGGGTGAGAGACTAGCATATGCAAAGGCCCGGAGGTAAGACTGCACTTGGAGTGTTGGGGAGCAGTGACTGCTCGGTGAGGCTGGGTCTAGGGTTCTGGGAGGGCTGACAGCTGTGCATCCGGTACGGAGGCCTCAAAGGACGAAAATGGCATTCGGATCAATTTTAGGGATGTGCCCCTGGCAGCAGTGTAAAGGATGGGTCGGAGGGTGAAATATTGAGGACGAAGTCCGATCAGGGCATCATGGCGAAACGCCAGGCGGAGAGATGAGGGAGACTCGGCCCAGGTAGGGGCAGTCGGGACGGCGGGAGAACAAGAGAGCCCTTGGGAGTGCACGGGACCGCCTGGCCGTGACTGGGTGCAGGAGAGGGCAGGCGCCCCTGAGCTGGTGGCTGGGAGGGGGAGGGCACCGCTGACCAGGAGCAGAAGGATAGAAGAAGTTGCAGCTTTAGGGAGGAAGGAAAACGATTCGGCCCCACTTTGAGTAAAGGCAATCTGCTCAGATCTGACTGTGCGGAGAGGTCAAGTGGAAGCGCTAGGTTGCGGGAAGGTGTGGAGTCCGCACACAGGGCCTCTCCGAGCTTCCCTCGTGCGGTGCCCACGGCTGAGCGAGGCGGGTTCCATCCTCCCCGTTTCACTCGTGGGGACACAGAGGCTCACAAAGGCCAGGTCAACTGCACAGAGTTGACACGGTTCCACCAACTTCTGTGTGGCGCCCCGCCAGGTCCTGGCGCCTCACTCGCGGCCCCAGGGCTGCTCTCTCCCCAGGAAAGGACCCTGCCCCGCTGCTCTCCGTGGCTGCCAAGCCAGGGCATCACAGACGTGGCTCATGTCGCCGACTTTGGAGGGCGCGCTGAGAGCTGCCCGAGCTCCGACGCTGGAGTGCTGATGTCTGTGGAGGGGGCGGCTGTGAGCTCTTTGCCAGCAGGGACCGTGTCTTCCTTTTTCCGAATCCCCGACAGGATCTAGCCAGGTTCCTGGCAGTTAGTAAGTGCCCAGACGGGAAAGAAAAAAGAGGGGAAGGGGAGGAGTTCTTTAAAATTCAGAGCTCGCATACCCTCCTCTCTCCCCTCCTTCCCAGCAGGTCCTGTCCAGTGATGCTTCTCTTGCAGAGAAAGTCCCCCGCGGCTCTGGCTCCCAATTTGCTTAAATAAAAGTAGAACTGTCCACTGTTTGGTCTGTGCCTGTTCTTTGCAGGTTATTTGCATACCTCACCTTACATAATTGTCACAACAGTCCTTTGAGGTAGGCGATTTCATCCCATTTTACAGCGGGGAAAGTTGAGGCTCAGACAGGCTAATGACTGAAACGAGAAAGGTCAGTCTGGTGACCGGGGGGCAGCAGAGCTTTGGTTCTTTCCCCTGACCCAGGTGGCCCCCTGCCCCTCTTCGTCCACTTAGTGAGGTCACCTGGGGACAGAAACCATAGCAAAAGCAAATAGCTTCTGAAATGTGCTCCCGGGAGGAGGAGCGTGGCTGGGGCCGCCAGCCGCAGATACCAGCACAGCGTGGTCTCTGCGGTGTGGGGGAGGGAACGAGGCCCGCGCTCCGAGCTGCTGCATGGTCGGGATGTTCTTTAAATCCAGTGCGATCGATCTCCTGGTAGGAGCCGGCCCTCCAGGCCCTTGCTCAGGACCCAGAAAGACTGCCTGTCCCAGAGCCAGCAGTCACTCATTTGCACTCTTGGCCTCCTGACGTCTTCGCCAGAGTGACTCAAAAGCAGCCTGCCGGGCGAGCTCAGTGGCACTCTGCCTTGGGCTCCACAGGAGGCTGTGGCCAGGCCCTGGGGACAGTGTCCTGGGGCCACCTGGGGACAGCTTACCAAGGGGCTCAGGAGGTTAAGGCTCCTGCCCTGGCCTCACCAAGCCTGAGAGCCCCTCTCTTCCGTGGCCGTGGCCAGTTCTCGTGGAGCCGACGCGTCTGTGGGATTGTGAGGGAGACAGGGCCGCTCCAGCCACCTCCCCTCCCCTCGCCGCCCCCGTGTTCTTTGGCTGACTCGGTTTCCCTCCAGCTGCTCTCTCCCCGTGGATGGCTGGGTTCTTTGTGCTGTTCTGGGTCCTTCTGTCAAGAAGAAAAGTACCTGCAAACTACTCTACACTCAAGCGGGAAGATGATGTCCCTTCCAGAATATTCAGGATTTTAAGTGAGGGTCTGGGTAGGAGATAATACTTAACCCAGAGTCGTTGGTTCCTCGTACCGTCTGGGCAACACCAGTGACAGGCTTTCCACTCTCGGAGCGGGCTGCATGTCTGTGGAGCTGAGCACCTGGGGACTTACCTGCTGGAAGACAGTGGCCGGGCTTCCCTTTAGTGGCGCTTGGCCTGCGATTTGGGCAGAAGGCAGACAGCCGCTGGGCAGGGACCGCCCGACGGAAGCCCTGCATCGGGAGGGCTTGGCCAGCTGATGTCAGAAGTCCTGGAACCTCAGAGCCAATGACACCGCGTCCTCTTTCCCTGCAGGTACTTCCACTGCCCGGCGGACAGTTCAGAGCTAGCCTACGACCCGCCGGCCGTCATGAACGCAGACACCTTGAGTTACTGTCAGAAGGAGGCCTGGTGTAAGCTGGCCTTCTACCTCCTCTCCTTCTTCTACTACCTGTACTGGTGAGTCTCCGGCCCTCCCGGTGGCAAACGGAAGGGAGTTCTAGGCCGGCCGTTGGGAGGTGGCCTGTGAGGAGGGGAGTCCCGGCCACTTGGGCCAGTCTGGCTCGGGAGCAAGGGCTTCTGGCGAAGGGGCAAGGGGCAGTGGCTCCTGCAGGAGGCCTTGCCTGCTGCCACCCTTAGGGCAGCACGGGGTGGGGAGGCTGTGGGCTCAAGGCCACATGAGGCCCTCCACGTCCCCAAGTGCGGGCTCGCAACCAAACCCAAACTTCACAGAACAAATCCCTTTATCAAAAGGATTTGTTTTGTAAAATTTTGATTCAGTCAAAAGGCTACACTCGGCTGGGCGTGGTGGCTCACGCCTGTAATCCTAGCACTCTGGGAGGCCGGGGCGGGTGGATTGCTTGAGTTCCAGAGTTCAAAACCAGCCTGAGCAAGAGTGAGACTCCATCTCTACTACAAATAGAAAGAAATTAATTGGCCAACTAATATGTATAGAAAAAATTAGCCGGGCATGGTGGTGCACGCCTGTAGTCCCAGCTACTTGGGAGGCTGAGGCAGGAGGATTGCTTGAGCCCAGGAGTTTGAGGTTGCTGTGAGCTAGGCTGATGCCACGGCACTCACTCTAGCCTGGGCAACAAAGTGAGACTCTGTTTAAAAAAAAAAAAAAAAAAAGGCCACACCCAAGGATCTGGAAGGCCACATGTAGCCCCAGGGCCGCAGGGTCCCCAGCCTGCCTGCCCATCTCTGTGGCTCCGGCGGCCCAGGTGCTCGGCCTTATCACTCCCTGTCCCCAGCCTGTTTGTAAGGATTCTTAGGCACCATAATAGTGACTCCCCCACTTCCGCGCCTTGGCCCCGCAGTGGCAGTCACGCTTCACAAAGTGGCATGTTGGGTCTCAAATGCTTCCTTCACAATTCCCCAATGCTACACAGCACCATTCTCATTAAGTCCAGCCTGCTGACTGCGCAGTTCCGGTTCAGGAGTCTCCCTCTCTCCCCTTCCTCCCTCGGAACACGAAAGGAAGCACACAGTGACAGCAAACCCTCTTGCACTTTGACACCCCAGAGACGGCCTTTTCTGAAAAACCTCTCCTCCTCTTCCTGTTCCTCATTGGCTCCTCTGAGACTCTCACCTGTCACCTTGCGATCCTGCCGTTACCTGTGGCAGGGCCAAGGCTATCTCCAGAGCAAGCAGTGCTGTCTCCCGAGGGGCTGGTCCACAGCAGCCGGGCAGAGAGGAGGAGGGATTGAGAATGTCAGACTCCACGGCCTCCTCTCGGGCCGTGGCAGGCTGCAATGTGGCTGCGTTTGTCTGGCATTTAAAGATGAACCAGATTTTGAGCTCAGAGCTTTATATGTATTTATCCCGATTTAAGAGATAAATACTATCCTTACCCACACAGGAAAAGTGAGGAAACAGAATCTGAGAAGTTAGATCTTTTTCCCGAGGTCCAGCTTATAGTGTCACAGTTGTAAGTCCATCTCAAGGCCTATCCTCAGAACTGAACTCTGAAGTACTGGCTATCTTAGGAAACCTCTAGAAAAGTCATTATCAAAGTGAGGGGCAGGGAATGAAGATCGTGTGCTTCTTTTTTGTGTGTGTGTGCCAATAAAACTTTATTGTTTTATTTTTATTTTTTTCAGGTTCCTATGTCAGGAATTTGGGTAAGGGGTTTGAACAGTGAGGATGGAGAGCTGAAACCTCTTGGTCAAGAGGCTTGTTGGGTGGGACTGGTTATTTTTATTTTTTAAATTTTTTAAATTTTAGCATATTATGGGGGTACAACTGTTAAGGTTACATATATTGCCCATGTCCCCCTCCCCCCTCGAGTAAGAGCTTCAAGTGTGTCCATCCCCCAAATGTTGCACATCTTACTCGTTGTGGTTGTATATACCCCACCCCACCTCTCCCCTCCCACCCTCCCGACACGCGATAAATGTTACTCTTATATGTCCACTTAGGTATTGATCTATTAGTACCAATTTGCTGGTGAGTACATGTGGTGCTTGTTTTTCTATTCTTGAGATACTTCACTTACTAGAATGGGTTCCAGCTGTATCCAGGAAAATACAAGAGATGCTATATCACCATTGTTTCTTAAAGCTGAGTAGTATTCCACGGTATATATATACCACATTTTATTAATCCACTCATGTATTGATGGGCACTTGGGTTGTTTCCACAGCTTTGCAATTGTGAATTGTGCTGCTGTAAACATTCGAGTGCAGGTGTCTTTTTCATAAAGTGACTTTTGATCTTTTGGGTAGATGCCCAGTAGTGGAATTGCTGGATCAAATGGTAGATCTACTTATATTACTTTGAAGTAGCTCCATATTGCTTTCCACAGAGGCTGAACCAGTTTGCAGTCCCACCAGCAGTATAGGAGTGTTCCTGTCTCTCCACATCCATGCCAGCATTTGTTGTTTGGGGACTTTTTGATAAAGGCCATTCTCACTGGAGTTAAGTGGTATCTCATTGTGGTTTTGATTTGCATTTCCCTGATGATTAGAGATGTTGAACATTTTTTCATATGTTTGTTGGCCATTATTCTGTCTTCTTTTGAGAAGTTTCTGTTTATGTCCTTTTCCCATTTTTTGATAGGGTTATTTGATTTTTTCTTGCTGATTTTCCTGAGTTCTAAAAAGATTCTAGTTATCAGCCCTTTATCAGATGTGTAGCTTGCAAAAATTTGCTCCCATTCTGTGGGTTGTCTGTTTGCTCTCTTGACAGTTTCTTTGGCTGTGCAGAAGCTTTTTAATTTGATCAGGTCCCATTTGTTTATTTTTGTTGCTGCTGTGATTGCCTTTGGGGTCTTCTTCATAAATTCTTTGCCTAGGCCAATGTCTAGAAGAGTATTTCCAACATTTTCCTCTAGAATTCTAATAGTTTCACACCTAAGGTTCAAGTCTGTTACCCAGCGTGAGTTGATTTTTGTGAGAGGTGAAAAGTGTGGGTCTTGATTTAGTCTTCTACATGTGGCTATCCAGTTTTCCCAGGACCATTTATTGAATAAGGATTCTTTTCCCCAGTGTATGTTTTTGTCTGCTTTGTCTAGGATTAGTTGGCTATATGAGGATGGTTTTATATCTGGGTTCTCTGTTCTGTTCCACTGATTAATGTCCCTGTTCTTGTGCCAGTCCCAAGCTGTTTTAATTACTATAGCTTTGTAGTATAGTTTGAAGTCTGGTAAATTGATACCTCCTATTTTGTTTTTATTGCCTAGGATTGATTTTGCTATACGGGGTCTTCTCTGGTTCCATACGAAGTGTAAAATTATATTTTCTATATCTGTGAAAAATGATGATGGTATTTTGATAGGGATTGCATTGATTCTGTAGGTCACTTTGGGTAGTACAGACATTTTAACAATGTTGATTCTGCCAACCCATGAGCATGGTATATTCTTCCATCTGTTTACGTCCTCTGCTATTTCCTTCTTCAGTGTTTCATAGTTCTCCCTGTAGAGGTCTTTTACCTCCTTAGTTAAATATATTCCAAAGTACTTTATTTTCTTTGTTGCTATTTTGAAGGTAATTGAATCTTTGATTTGGTTCTCACTTTGACTATTGTTGGCATATATGAAGGCCTCTGATTTCTGTGTATGGATTTTGTATTCTGAGACTTTACCAAATTCATTTATCACATCAAGGAGCTTCATGGTTGAATCCTTGGGGTTTTCTAGGTATAATATCATGTCATCCGCAAAGAGTGTGAGTTTGATCTCTTCTGCTCCCATTTGGATGCCCTTAATTTCGCTCTCTTGTCTGATTACTGTCTCAAGGACTTCCAGCACTATGTTGAACAGAAGTGGAGATAGTGGGAAACCTTGTTTTGTTACAGTTCTAAGTGGGAATTATTTCAATTTTTTCCCATTCAGTGTGATATTGGCTGTGGGTTTGTCATATAAGGCTTGTATCATTTTTAGGTAAGCCCCATCTATGCCTATTTTGTTGAGCATTCTTATCATAAAAGGGTGTTGAATTTTGTCATATGTTTTTTCCACGTCTATTGAGAGGATCATATGGTCTTTGTTTTTGCTTCTGTTTATATGGTGAATTACATTTATAGATTTGCGATTGTTGAACCATCCCTGCATCCCTTGGATGAAGCCCACTTGGTTGTGATGAATTATTTTCTTGACAAGCACCTGGATTCGATTGGCTAGGATTTTGTTGAGGATTTTTGCATCTGTATTCATAAGGGATATTGGTCTGTAGTTTTCTTTTTTTGTTGCATCCTTTCCTGGTTTTGGTACCAGGGTTATGTTTGCTTCATAAAATGTGTTGGGGAGAATTCCATCTTTCTCAATGTTGTGGAATAATTTTTGCAGGATAGGCACCAGTTCTTCTTTGTACATGTGGTAAAATTTGGGTGTGAAACCATCTGGTCCACAACTTTTCTTTTTAGGAAGGTTTTTTAATGCTGTTTCAATTCCAGTACTCTGATATGGTCGTCAGGAATTCTATTTCTCATGGTTGAGCTAGGCAGGCTCGTGTGGTTTCGTAAGAAATGTCCCCATTTCCCTCACATTCTTCCAGTTTGTGTGCATAGAGTTTTTGTAGATTTCATAAATTCATATTGACCCATGGCATCCAGTTGTAATTGTCTTTTATTGTTCCGTATGAGCTTATTTAGAGATCTTTCCTGCTTTTGTTAGTCAAGCCAATAGGTGTGTCAATTTTGTTTAATTTTTTCAAAGAACAACTTTTGTTTTATTAATCTTCTTATATCTTCCCTTGTTCATTTCCTTTAGTTCTCGATTTATCTTGTTGATTTCACTTCTTCATGCCTGGGTTTGGGGCCTGTTCTGTCTTCTCTTTTCCAGCTCTTAGGAGATTCATTAGATGTCCTCTTTTGTAATCTTTCGACTTTTGGATATAGGCTATTTATGGAATAAACTCTCCTCTCAGGACGCTTTAAGCGTGTCCCACAGTTTTGGTAACTTGTGTCACCTTTGTTTAGTTCAAAGATCTTTTGATTCGCCATCTGATTTCTCTCTT